CGATCACGGTCCCCCAAATCGATACTGCAGATATAGCCTGGGTATGCCTGGGTAGCTGAATGATTACCAAAATCATCAAATTCATCCTCATATTTGCTACATACCATACCTACATGGATTTCCATAATTCTTTTGGTTCCCAAGTACGGAAGTACTGGGTTAAAAGTAAGCCGGTATAACAATCAGGATGTGCAAATGAGAACATTCAGCCTAGCATCTACGCTCAGAAACTTGAGGAATGACATCGTGGTCTGGGCGCTCCACATGTGAGACTTGTTACCAGTTGTCTCGATGTGCATTGCTGGAGAAAACCTTTCTCGAAGCTGATTGAGGGTGCTGGGGGTCACCAAATCATCTGAGAGGGTAGTGAAAAGACGGGAAATGGCTCCATCCACCCAAGTCAGAGTGGTTGTACTTCTTGGGACCCGCCAGCGCTCAACAGCCCCTATGGAGCTGTACTGGTCTGTGTAGGCAGCTTTCGGCCCCTGGTAAATTGTCTTGTCTTCGCCGAGTTTCCTTGGGCCGACATCGGCAAGCATCCATGCAGTATGTATGTATGTCTGTCTGTCTGTATGTATGTATGTATGTATGTATGTATGTATGTGTGTAATGTATGTATGTATGCATGTATGTATGCATGCATGTAAGTATGCAAGTATGTAAGAAAGAAACTAAGACAAACATGCAATTAAGTCCAAGCGAGTATCTTAGACTAAGCAAGTAAGTTGTATGCTGTGGCTATGTCGTGTTTCCATAATTCTTTTTGGCACATTCAGTGAAGCTTAGACAAGAAGCACATTAAAAACAAATGACAACCAAGCTTCAGTGGAGCAAGACCCGCTTTGACACGTAGTTCCTGCATGAACTTGGCCTTCCTCGGTTGAAGATCTTCCAAGTTTCTTGCACCTGCAACTCCCTTCTTGTAAGCCACACGCTTCAACGGTTCGTACATCAATGTCCAGACTTGGTCAAAGTTTCCTATCAGTCTGGGATGGATTCTGCCAGTGCTTGTGGCATTGGAGATCCATTGCCTGATGGAAACAACCTGAGGGTTGTTGTACTCAAGATGTTTCTGTGGCTTTTCGTTTTTGTAGAAACCCCAGTGGAATCTGCAAGCAAAGCGACTAGCTAACTTCTCCAAGTTAGCCTTGCTCAAGTTGCAGGTGGCCTGAGGGGCCAATTTCAGATCCGCTTCACCTCCTTCAAGCTCAGCTTCTTTCATTGCTTCTTCAATCTCCTTGTTCACATCTTTCACCTGACGGTTGTACTCCTGCAAAACGTCCTGAATCAGATCGGCAATGCCAGCAGGGGAGACTTCCATGCCAAGCTGCAATTTGTCAAGCAAGATGCTGTCGCACATGTGCTGGAGGGCCACGGGGAAGGCTGCAGATGCCCGTCCCAACATACCCATTCCTAGATTTTTGCGAGCCCAGTTGGGAACCTTGTCAACTTTTGCGGCTTCTCTCGGGCAAGTTTCCACAAAGCTGTCCCACTTCTCGCGGACACGGGCCCCCAACCATTTTGTTTGTGACATCACCCCCTTGTAGCATCCTCCAGGGCACCAACCATTTCTATATTTGTTTTTTTCCCTGGGAGTGTGGCCAGTATTGGAACGAACACCTGTGAGACATCGAAAAAGCTATGTATCTATGTATGTATGCATGCATGCATGCATGCATGCATGTACGTTGTATTGTATATTGTGGCTATTTCCAAAATTCTTTTTGGTATGTTGGTGTGAACAAAAACATTCGTGACCCTGCGTTGGTCCCATCCTGGCAGTTTGAGTTCGTAGAACTTCTGCTGGCCCAGTGCTTTGCCATGCTCCTTGATCAACTGCTCATATTCCTTGCATGCGGCCAACTTCTTGGCAATGGAAATTGAGTCACCGCGCTTGTGCCTTTTTTTTGCTGGTTCATCTTTTGCTTCTCCTGCTTCTTCTCCCTCACCATCTGGCTTTGGTTCAAGCACGGCACGGGGAATCACCACAGGAGCATACTCGCAAGCTTGCTGCTTTCCTCTCAACCGTTTTTTTGCAGGGTTCTCAGCCACAGGTGGGCCTCCAGGGCAGGGAGCTGCGGAAGGATCTTGTTGGGCTAGCTGTTGGGCTGGCTGTGGTTGTACTGCAGGTAGATCTGTGGTTGACTTCTCAAGCTCAGCATCAACTTGACTCCGCTTTCTTGTTCTTCGGGCATGTTCACCATGGACTTGACGAGATCGAGGTGACTGACGCGAACCAGAAAAGAGCTGTGTCGGCTTGGCACCGTGGAAGGATTTCATAATGGGAGGCATCAACTTTGTTGCTTCTCGCTTTTCTGCAACCTCAAATCTTGCCTCCTCTTCATCCAAGAAATCTTCCAACCAGGTATCGACCATGGGTTTGTCATGTGGCACGTCCGTGGGCATGCCCCCAGCTGATTCAGTTGGAATCTCCGCCATGGATGGTGCTTCGGCACTGGTCACAACCTCATGCTTCACAATCTGAAAGGCAGGGGCAGCCTGCTGCAACGTCACGTCTGGAGAGGAGAGCCCCCGATGGAAAGAAGCTTTTCTCAATGATGAAGAGTCGCCATCTTCCACGCCATCTTCATCTCCAGGAACTTGTTGAGGAATCTTCGCTGAGTGGTGCCGCTGCGCGATAGAATACCAAGCACTGCAGCTAACCAAACTGGCAATGGTAGTAGCCAAAGCTACAGTTGTGCTGAAAGCATTGCCTGCCCGCAATCTGGCAGTAGAAGACTCAGACAAATCCTGCATGGCTTTGAAGGCTGCCCCTTTGTAGGACCAGTTCCAAATGCCCTGCAAGGCTAGATGTTCACTTCCTCTCAAGTACCTTTGCCGCTTCACCTTGGGCGCAGGTAAAATAAAAATATGATGGTTCATGGAGGAACCGAGGGAAACCAAGATGCTAACACAATTTCCATAATTATTTTTGTATTGATGAGTACAACTTCCAGGGTATTTTTCGATTGCAAGTCACAGAGAAGACCTTGTGGGTCGGTCGCAAGCAGGTCGCCATGCAGTTGCCTTTCTCCGGCTTCCGGCTAAGGGAAGTAGAGGAATCCACATACAGGTCCAACGATCCAAAAACGCCTTTCATCTCCTGAGTAACAGCGTCAATTTGCTGTTGGACTCGAGGTGGCAACGTGTCCTTCGGTAAGGTCTCAGCATTCGTGGTCAGATGCAAGAATCTATCCATTGGCCACCTGCATGGGAAAAGAAATATGGAAATTAGATGAAATTAGTGGCCACAAAGTCGTGCTGTCTTTTCCCCATTGAGCTCAATGCAAGATTAAATACATATGTAGTTATGTACATGGCTATGTAATACTTCATTGGGGTTTTGTGGAAACATGTTGAAACCACACCTGGCAAAGGTTTCCATCATGGTCATTGCAGCGTCAAAGTCCTGGGTCATTCGCTCTGGACGCTGTTCACCCATAGATGCGACCCCGTAAACACGCTTTCTCCGCTGGGGGAGTAAGAACTTTGCAGTATCACACAGCCGCCATGTGAAGTGGCATCCCTGCAGTTCTAGGTCTTCCACGACGGTCTCGATTTCTGGTCGGTGTTTGGTCCCATGCTTGTCGGTTTTGTGGTTCGCAACATCCCGAACATTTTCATACATGCTGACAAGTGCGCTAAGCCTTTCTCGAGCATCACGAAACCCTTGCTTGTAGGTCACCCCGCTCTGGCAGCCCTCACCCTCTTCATCGTCTTGAGCATAGCACCCCACAAAGCTTGAAGCACGTTCATTCCTTAGCTTGTTTTGACCAGTATTAGCATGTATTGGCCATGATGTCCTTTGCAAGTCCCACCCGACTTATTTATGTAGAGGCTTGCGTTTCCATAATTATTTTCTCCTCGGCAGTTTCTGTATGTACGTATATGTATCCAAGAATATAGGAACCACAGAAAAATAGTTCTGTCAAAAAACAGAAAACAGTTCCTCGTCTATGTAAGGCCAAAAAGGATCATTGAGCTCAAATTCACGCAAGATGTTCCCGCCACGAGCAGGTCGCAGGTTTCAAGTTCCACTTCCTAAGTTGCTTTTCATCCCCCAAGGAGCATGGGAGATCGTGGGAAATATTGGAATATGCGGTGTAAAATCGTGTCGTTTAGTGTCGCTGGTGGTTTTACAAAAGGAAGAGAGGGATGTAACACAATAATATATATATATACACATTTGGATACGGATAATCTGAATATCTACTACTATAGACTCAAAGCCGATCTAGAATCTACAGCAAACAAAATTGAATGCGCAAAGGAAAAGTTGAGGTTCCTTCCCATCCAGAACATTTGTGCCTCTGCCAGCTGCCACCTCAGCGACATCCTTGAAGAGGACTGCAACCTCCCCCAGCCGCTGGATGTGCTCCCGACAGTCTTCGTCAATATCACAAGCCAGGTAGGGGTGCACAGAAATGTCGCTCTGGAAACGCTCATTCAGAGCCCTGGTTTCGCGATGCACACTCAAGACCGCACATGGTGCGTGTGCGCGTGCGTGTGAAAAAAGGAATTATGGCAACACATGTATGTAATGTATATGTTCATGTAATGTATGTATGCATGCATGGATGTATGTATGTATGCATGTATGTACGTACGTATGTATGTATGTCTGTCTGTATGTATGTCTGTATGGATGGATGGATGGACGGATGGATGTAGGTACGACATGGATTTCCATAATTCTTTTGGTCTCCAAATACTGGGTCTTATGTTATGTATATTTCTCAAAGTTTCATTTTATGTTAGAAACGCCAACAGAAGTTGAATGTTTTCAGCTCTCGTAACCCCTGCCTGAAAACACTTTGGAGGATGCTAGGCATAGAGTCCACTCCAGGGCAGGTGGTGGCTAGACGGACCCTCGCCCCATGCAAGGCACATGCCACCAATCTGAGTCTATCTTGAAATGGCCCAGACAAAGCTTGCATGAAAGAGCGAGCTACCTGTAGTAGGTCTGGTTCTGGTAGAGAGTCCCCTTGAAAAAAAGCATCTGGATACGGGGTCCTTCTCAAGCTCGAAGCCGCATACTTCTGAAATTGGTGCTGAGACCGAGGCTTGGTCTTTCTGTCAGTGCTCCTGCCAGTACCGAGAGTCCTCACGAATGGCTCCACTTTGACAAATGGACGATAGGTGTGTGGGCTTCTGTTGGCACCAATTGGCACGCTAAATGCATACTTGGCTTCCAGTACGCCCATAGATATGGCAGGGACTGCCGGTCCCAGTGTCACTTTTCCACCAACCACATCTGGCTGGTTTGCCGCCACCAGAAATTCATTGGTGTCGCTGGGGAGCTCTCCATCAGGGATCACAATGCCAGAAAGCCCATTCAGCATCTTCTCCATCACAAACATGGAAGTTCGTAGGACATGAACAACAGGTTCTTGTTCAGGTTCTCGTGCAGGTCCACGCTCAGCAGCAGGTTGAAAGGAGGAATATGAAGATGATGCGGCACTGGATGCTGAGTCGTCCATGCTGCCAGGCTTGTCAAGGCTGATCCAAACTACGCATCCATTTGGTTGATCAAAGGATATGCTTGGGGAAATCTCAGTCACCTGGTCCAAAAGCCAGCCAAAGTTGTACTTCTTCAGGAGGGATGGATCATCCTTGACCATGTGCAAGTCCACAAATTTCCGTTTCCAAGCATCATCCACATCAAAACAATCCACCAAGTTCGCATGCCCACAAAGCTTGCCACGCCATCCCAACCCAATTTTGCCTCTGAAGTTCGCAGCCCTCGAGCGCAGCTCAACACGTTTTCCATGATGTAGTATCAAATCCAGCCACTTTTCCTGAATAAGCAAGATCTTTTTGATGCCGAATTCAGAAGCGATCTCCTCGTTACTTTTCACAGCTCCGGACTGGACACTACCTCCCAGGTAATCTTCAGAAAAAGGCCAATATTAAAACATGCACGGTATGGACATATATGGACATTGCAATGATCCTGCTATAGCTTGCAGAAAAAAATTATGGAAACCCCAGTCCACATACCAGGGTGTATCTTTATGTATGTATGTCTGTCTGTATGTCTGCTGATTTCCATATGTAGTTTTTTTTGTGGCAGTCTCAAAGGATGTTTCATCCCCTCTTGGCCTTGGGATGGCTGGCGCGGGAAAGAATTTGATACAAGATCAAGCTTTTGATCTTGCTCCAGAGGTGGTGGAAAAATGGCAGGGCCAGTCTCATGCTCAATGTCAATCTCCGGCGCCAGCAATGTACACCCGGCATCATCTTGGATCAGCAAGTCATACTGGGCAATTCGCTTGGCTTCGTCAGTGAAGGCCGCAGAATGATACACTCGGAGCTTGACAGGCCGATCAGCAGGGCCATAAGTTCCATCCTGATGGATTTGAACACCCATTGAACTTGGAACTGCCTTGACTTCGCAGTGCATGAGCAGCCCCATGGCGCAACGGATGCGCATCTGGAGCAGATGCCCCACAAGCCAAAGATCATCAACTTTCATCTGCTGCCCGTTCCTCAATCCATGCTCAAGGGAGACGAGCTTTGCGTGCATGTCTGCACACAGGTTCTGATTCTGTGTGCGGAAGGCAGCCAGCCGGTCCAAGAATTCCAGCCGAAGAGCTTGAACATTTTCCAGCTCTTGCTTCCTCACGCCAAGTTCCACAGGCCACCCATAGGCTGTCCTCACTTGTCTGATTCGATCAGCATCCTGCGACCAGTACAAGGCGTGCCAGAAAGAGTCCGTTGTCTTGGGAGGCTGAATGATGGTGTAGTGAACTTCCTCACGGTTTCGCACACTCTCCTGAGATCGACAGCTGAATGACCATACCATGCAAGTTTGCATGTATGCATGTATGTATGCAATGTATACATGTATGCATATATGCATGTATGCATGTATGTATGTGTGTGCAGGTGCGACATGGATTTCCATATGTTTATTACACCTCTAATAGTGGGTCTTTTTTAGTACGTATAGTGATCTATATATACATAGATATAACTATGCCATGAGATTTCCATCTTTTTTGAAATCAAACCTGCCCATAGTTCAAAATCTAAGTTTCAGAGACAACCTCGTTGACCATCTCTGTCAGGCTAGTGGTCTTCTTCGCATCCGCATCTATAAACTCAAGGTTTTCCTCCTTGAGGCGCTTGCTCAAGAATGGCATGCTCACCCTTTGGAACTGGCTATCCCCTTGACGGTCAAAAACCCACAGATGATGTTTTGACGACTGCGGGTGTATGTCAGCCTGCATGATGATGTGTTGCTCTACCAGGTTCTCATCGAACTTTTGCAGCCATTGGCAGACAGTTTCTGGCGGCTTTTTGTCTCCCGATGCCCTCTCTCTCTCTTCAACGTAGTCAACCACAGCCACGCCCAAAACCTTGCTACCCTCAATCTCGGCTAGTTTGGTGGCTGCAGCCGATGAGAGCATATCCAAGGATGCACTTGCAATGGTGCAGTTTGCCCTCCAAGTGGCTTGGGCACCCTTCCCCTTCCACCACTTTCCAAGGAAAAGTGCAAATCTCTGCCTACCAGCTCCCTGGACACTGTTGACAATGGCCTTGAAACACCCACAATGGACGCGAACCTTTGCCTCCGGCAGTTTAGGCTGATGATCCTCCAAGTCTTTGCCCATGATGCCTTCCCAGATGTTGATGCCGTCATCAAAGCGAAAAGCTGCAACCGACGCTGGAGCCTGCAAGTCCGAGAAATGGTTTTATTTAGACCCAGATATATTTGAAACGCACACACACACACACACCCACGCACGCACGCACGCACGCACGCACGCACACGCGCACACGCGCACACGCGCACACGTGTATGTATGTCTGTTTTGATGGACGGATATGGATATGGATATGGATATGGATATGGATATGGATGGATGGATGTAGGTCCGACATGGATTTCCATAATTCTTTTGGTCTCCAAATACTGGGTCTTGCCTTCTGATATATATATATACATATCATTCTCAAAGTGTTTAACGTCAGACATGCCAACAGAAGTTGAATGTTTTCAGCTTTCGTAACCCTGCGTGAAAACAGTATGATGTGTATATACGTATGCATGTATGGATGGATGGATGGATGCATGTGTGAATAAAGTCATCCCATGATTGATTGGTTTGTTTACTTCACACAGGATGTGCTGAGCTGTGTCAAGGGTTTTCCACCAGTTATTGTGGAAACGAAATTTTGGAAATGCAAGTTTGCTGCCTCTGGAAGATCGTGCTTGTCTTTCACAGAGTCGTAGCACTTCATGTCTCTAGTGCCAGCTGCAACCGCGGCTTTCAAACCACCCAAGGCTGCACGCAAGCCCCCTGTCTTTCGAAGGTGACACATAGATGAAAACCAAGATTCAGCTTTACCTCATTGGGGTGTTGGCCCCCAGCTGAAAAGCGCATTCAGTGAAGTGTAGTGAGCATAACCCCCCAACAAAACAATGTATATAAATGAACTCCACTCAGTTACTCTCAGTCGGAAAGATTTGGGAAATCTGGTTCTCTTTGCCATCAACATCGAAGTAACAAACAAAGGAACCATCCGACTGTGGGAAGACTCCTTCCTCGTTACGCTGCTTGGTTTCCCCAATCAGTGCCGTAGGCTCCTTTGTTTCCTCAGTCGGTGCCGTAGTTCCCTTGGTTTCCTCAATCGGTGCCGTAGGCCCCTTGGTTTCCTCAATCAATGCCTTCGCCGGTGTGGGTGCTGTAGGCTTTGAAGGCTGTGCTGCAGCACCATCCTTAACCAACCGAATGGTGGTGGCAGGCTTTAGTACTATATGATAAACAAGAATTTCCATAATTCTTTTGGGCCCCTAAGGGATGGATTGAACTGAAATCCAAAAGAGTGCCTCAGATACTGCATATTCAATAACAACATCAAAAAACACTTGGGAAGCGTGTCTCGGATAGATGGAAAATGATGGGGGCCCAACCAATACTCAATACTTACTATTCAGATATGTACAGATATCTCACTGGCATTCATGGTGGCTGTGGCGGTGAAGATGGTGGTGGTGTTTATTTCAATGGGTGCGACAGGTATTTCCATATTTTTTTTGGTCCCGTAGGGATGGGTTATAAATGACCCTTTTCAAGGATTCTTAGATTGTTAGGCAGCCAATTCCAACAAATGTGCTTGATAATGCTACATATGGGAAGTCATCAACCACTGTTATCTAGTTGGCAGTGGTGGTGGTAGTTACAGGGCGCAGTAATTCCAGCTTGTCCTTTGCAGTTTCTTTTAGTGGGTTATTACTTCATCTTCTAAAAATAGATCCAAAGTCACACCCACAGCAAAAACTCAAAGGACAAGAAGTGACTACTGGGTACGTACGGGCAGCAGCTGTTGCGGCGGCGTGGGATGGTGGTGGTGGTTGTGGATGGTTTTTTGCGTTTACTTCGCTAGGCTTCTAGGTATGATTTGGATTTCCATAATTCTTTTTGGTCTGTCAGGGGTGGCTTGAAAATGGTCTCCTACGGGATGTTTCATATTTTAACAACATCATCACTTCAAAAGAGAAGTAGGTTGGCAATCTGTGTCCTAAATGTTTGAACCCAACCAGTATTTTTCAGATACCTAGTTGGCACATGGTGGGATTTCCACTTGCCTTTCTCCCTTTTTGTGTGTACCTCTGCCATGCAGATAAAACAAGAATTTCCATACTTCTTTTGGGCCCCTAAGGATCCTAAGGGATGGATTGAACTGAAATCCAAAAGAGTGCCTCAGATACTGCATATTCAATAACAACATCAAAAAACACTTGGGAAGCGTGTCTCCGATGGATGGAAAATGATGGGGGCCCAACCAATACTCAATACTTACTATTCAGATATGTACAGATATCTCACTGGCATTCATGGTGGCTGTGGTGGTGAAGATGGTGGTGGTGTTTATTTCAATGGGTGCGACAGGTATTTCCATATTTTTTTTGGTCCCGTAGGGATGGGTTATAAATGACCCTTTTCAAGGATTCTTAGATTGTTAGGCAGCCAATTCCAACAAATGTGCTTGATAATGCTACATATGGGAAGTCATCAACCACTGTTATCTAGTTGGCAGTGGTGGTGGTAGTTACAGGGCGCAGTAATTCCTGCTTGTCCTTTGCAGTTTCTTTTAGTGGGTTATTACTTCATCTTCTAAAAATAGATCCAAAGTCACACCCACAGCAAAAACTCAAAGGACAAGAAGTGACTACTGGGTACGTACGGGCAGCAGCTGTTGCGGCGGCGTGGGATGGTGGTGGTGGTTGTGGATGGTTTTTTGCGTTTACTTCGCTAGGCTTCTAGGTATGATTTGGATTTCCATAATTCTTTTTGGTCTGTCAGGGGTGGCTTGAAAATGGTCTCCTACGGGATGTTTCATATTTTAACAACATCATCACTTCAAAAGAGAAGCAGGTTGGCAATCTGTCTCCTAAATGTTTGAACCCAGCCAGTATTTTTCAGATACCTAGTTGGCACATGGTGGGATTTCCACTTGCCTTTCTCCCTCTTTGTGGGTACCTACGCCATGCAGATAAAACAAGAATTTCCATACTTCTTTTGGGCCCCTAAGGATCCTAAGGGATGGATTGAACTGAAATCCAAAAGAGTGCCTCAGATACTGCATATTCAATAACAACATCAAAAAACACTTGGGAAGCGTGTCTCCGATGGATGGAAAATGATGGGGGCCCAACCAATACTCAATACTTACTATTCAGATATGTACAGATATCTCACTGGCATTCATGGTGGCTGTGGTGGTGAAGATGGTGGTGGTGTTTATTTCAATGGGTGCGACAGGTATTTCCATATTTTTTTTGGTCCCGTAGGGATGGGTTATAAATGACCCTTTTCAAGGATTCTTAGATTGTTAGGCAGCCAATTCCAACAAATGTGCTTGATAATGCTACATATGGGAAGTCATCAACCACTGTTATCTAGTTGGCAGTGGTGGTGGTAGTTACAGGGCGCAGTAATTCCAGCTTGTCCTTTGCAGTTTCTTTTAGTGGGTTATTACTTCATCTTCTAAAAATGGATCCAAAGTCACACCCACAGCAAAAACTCAAAGGACAAGAAGTGACTACTGGGTACGTACGGGCAGCAGCTGTTGCGGCGGCGTGGGATGGTGGTGGTGGTTGTGGATGGTTTTTTGCGTTTACTTCGCTAGGCTTCTAGGTATGATTTGGATTTCCATAATTCTTTTTGGTCTGTCAGGGGTGGCTTGAAAATGGTCTCCTACGGGATGTTTCATATTTTAACAACATCATCACTTCAAAAGAGAAGCAGGTTGGCAATCTGTCTCCTAAATGTTTGAACCCAGCCAGTATTTTTCAGATACCTAGTTGGCACATGGTGGGATTTCCACTTGCCTTTCTCCCTCTTTGTGGGTACCTACGCCATGCAGATAAAACAAGAATTTCCATACTTCTTTTGGGCCCCTTTCGCTTGGTAAGAAAAAGAAAAAGCCCCAGGCATCTGGTCCAAGAGAGACAGATAAAGGCACTCCGAATGTTAAGGCATAAACGAAAGGAGGGACAGGGCGGGAAGGGGACAGCAAGATGTAGACGACAGACGGAGGTAGGCGAAGTAAACACAACAACCTGCAGGTGATGATCCTAAGGGATGGATTGAACTGAAATCCAAAAGAGTGCCTCAGATACTGCATATTCGATAACAACATCAAAAAACAACATCAAAAAACACTTGGGAAGCGTGTCTCCGATGGATGGAAAATGATGGGGGCCCAACCAATACTATTCAGATATGTACAGATATCTCATTGGCATTCATGGTGGCTGTGGTGGTGAAGATGGTGGTGGTGTTTATTTCAATGGGTACGACAGGTATTTCCATATTTTTTTTGGTCCCGTAGGGTATGGGTTATAGCCTAGGATCAATTCCCTTGGTGAGTTCCGGCTCCACCACTGGTGATTTGCCTTCATAGATCACCTCTTCTAATGCATCCCTGTTTACCTTGTTCGATCGTTTGTTCTTCACACCATGCTCCTTTAAAAAGAGATCTCGTTCCTCTTTGTCTTGCTGGTAACACAGGAAATCAAAACGTTTCAGGTGCTGTTTGAGCAGTCCATCGAACTTCTTTGCAAGCTGGATCGCCTGGTGCTTTCCCCCGGATTTCGCAAAGGTCCAAGTTCGATGCCTTTGCAGTCTAGGCCCATGCGTCACATGCTTCGCAAACCTCAGAATGAAGATTTTGGCGCCCTGGAGAGACTGGCAGCCAACCGTGGCAGCTTACCCATATATATATATATTATAGCATATATCCATATTTTTACAACCCATATACTCATTTTAGCCTAGCTGTATACACGTACGAGTATGTTATACATATATATATATGTGTATATATAGATATGTATATATACATAGAGGCTTTACCAGTTCGCCTGCGTTTTCTATCTTCTATGTAGACATACGTTTTGCATGCATCCTTTCAGACATGGCCATGGCGACCAAAACAAAATTATGGAAATTCATGGGTTCACTTCCCTGTATGTACCAAACCCTGGTCCAAGAAGCACTCTGATGGCGTCATAACCCTCCACAGCAGCCCCTCCGAACCCCATTGCTCCGAGAAATTGGTGTTGGCTGGTGCCAGCTAATGTGGTCGCACACACAAAACTACCACTACCAGAACTACAGAGGTGCTTCTCTTGCCCCAATTGAAAAATATTTCACCAACATGACCAACATGCTTTCTATTCTATGAGTTTGTGCGAGTTTGTGCAAGCCTCAAAGTCGTCGTCTCTGAAGCTAGCTGGCTGGGCGGCAGGCAGGATTCAAACTCGGTTTGGTTCCAAAATGCCCTAAAATATGGGCTGCTGGATGATAGTCCCAACCGACTTGGAAGGCCAGGTCAATTTATTGAGCTGAATAGCCATATATACTGTAAGGCAAGGTTAACCGCCTATCTAGTTATACATGTCATATCATGTCATATCTATTCCATCTATATATCATATATCCACCTATCCATCTATCCACCTATCAACCTATCCATCTATGCATCTACCTACAGTCACCGACAGAATTATGGAAATGAAAAAAGGGACGCGCGCCGCAAGTAATCGAAACGGTTAATTTAGATTTAATTCCAAGATCATGCAAATACGCTGGAAACCAGGTGGTTTGAAGGATCAGGGTCCGAGAGCTGAATCTAGATTTAATCCCAAGATCATGCAAATAAACTGTAAACAAGGCGGTTTGGAGATGTTTGGAGGATAAGGATCCCAAAACTGAATCTGGATTTAGTCCCAAAATCATGCAAATTTCCTGTAAAACAGGTAGTTTGGAGGACCAGGATCCGATAAGTAAGATTTCCAAAATTAATTTTGCATCGTGGATTAGAGGCTTTTGTAGACATTTGTATACACTTGTTTCATCCTTTTTTTTGAAGGATCAAGATCCGAAAACTGAATCTAGATTTACTGTAGTCCCAAGATCATGCAAATACGCTGCAAAGCAACTGGTTTGGAGGATCAGGGTCCGGAAGATGAATCTAGATTTAGTCCCAAGATCATGCAAATAAACTGTAAACAAGGTGGTTTAGAGATGTTTGGTGGATCAGGATCCCAAAACTGAATCTGGATTTAGTCCCAAAATCATGCAAATTTGCTGTGGTTTGGAGGATAAGGGTCCCAAAACTGAATCTGGATTTTGTCCCAAAATCATGCAAAAACATTCAAAACTAGGTAGTTTGGAGGATCAGGATCCGATAAGTAAGATTTCCAAAATTAAGTTTGCATCGTGGATTAGAGGCTTTTGTAGACATTTGTATACATGTGTTTCATCCTTTTTTTTGAAGGATCAAGATCCGAAAACTGAATCTAGATTTACTGTAGTCCCAAGATCATGCAAATACGCTGCAAAGCAACTGGTTTGGAGGATCAGGGTCCGGAAGCTGAATCTAGATTTAGTCCCAAGATCATGCAAATAAACTGTAAACAAGGTGGTTTAGAGATGTTTGGAGGATCAGGATCCCAAAATTGAATCTGGATTTAGTCCCAAAATCATGCAAACTTGCTGTGGTTTGGAGGATAAGGGTCCCAAAACTGAATCTGGATTTTGTCCCAAAATCATGCAAAAACATTCAAAACTAGGTAGTTTGGAGGATCAGGATCCGATAAGTAAGATTTCCAAAATTAATTTTGCATCGTGGATTAGAGGCTTTTGTAGACATTTGTATACATGTGTTTCATCTTTTTTTTTGAAGGATCAAGATCCGAAAACTGAATCTAGATTTACTGTAGTCCCAAGATCATGCAAATACGCTGCAAAGCAACTGGTTTGGAGGATCAGGGTCCGGAAGCTGAATCTAGATTTAGTCCCAAGATCATGCAAATAAACTGTAAACAAGGTGGTTTAGAGATGTTTGGAGGATCAGGATCCCAAGATTGAACCTGGATTTAGTCCCAAAATCATGCAAACTTGCTGTGGTTTGGAGGATAAGGGTCCCAAAACTGAATCTGGATTTTGTCCCAAAATCATGCAAAAACATTCAAAACTAGGTAGTTTGGAGGATCAGGATCCGAAAAGTAAGATTTCCAAAATTAAGTTTGCATCGTGGATTAGAGGCTTTTGTAGAAATTTGTATACATTTGTTTCATCCTTTTTTTTGAAGGATCAAGATCCGAAAACTGAATCTAGATTTACTGTAGTCCCAAGATCATGCAAATACGCTGCAAAGCAACTGGTTTGGAGGATCAGGGTCCGGAAGCTGAATCTAGATTTAGTCCCAAGATCATGCAAATAAACTGTAAACAAGGTGGTTTAGAGATGTTTGGAGGATCAGGATCCCAAAATTGAATCTGGATTTAGTCCCAAAATCATGCAAATTTGCTGTAAGCCAGGTGGTTTGGAGGATAAGGGTCCCAAAACTGAATCTGGATTTAGTCCCAAAATCATGCAAATACGCTGTAAAGCAGGTAGTTTGGAGGACCAGGATCCGATAAGTAAGATTTCCAAAATTAATTTCGCATCGTGGATTACAGGCTTTTGTAGACATTTGTCTCACTTGTTGTTTCTTTTTTAGAGGATCAGGATCTGAAAATTGCTATTTCCAAAATTCTTTTTTTTGAAAGTCCGTAATCTGGCAATTTTTTTGTCTTGGTTTCGGTCCCCAACCTTTTTCGCTAACTGCGGCGCCGAACCTTTTTTTCATTTCCATAATTCTGTCGGTGACTGTATATTATATTATATTATATTATATTATATATTATAATATATATATATGGTACCCCCCCAAGCCAAGGTTTTATTACTTTACCATGATTTTTACAATAGTTTATGATATTGTTGAATGTATGGTAATCAATTGTTCCAAATTAAGATACAAATATAATAATGAATGAAGTGTACAATGAAGGAAGTGTGATCCAAAGAAATACAAAGTCAAGTGGTGGATAAGCCAATAACATCAATATTCTAAGGCTCTTTGGGGAGTGCCCCTTAGAGAAAAGTCAAAAAACCTTAGAAAAACCAAGAAAAACAAAAAAAAACAAAAAAACAATATTTGGAAACTCTTTGGGGAGGGCCCCTTAGAGAAAAGTCAAAAAACCTTGGAAAAACCAAAAAAAACAATATTTTGAGTCTCTTGCCTAACCTCTTCCATTTCCAAGACCTCTGGAAAATTGTTTTTTTGTTTTTTTTTGGTTTTCTCGAAGTTTTTTTGGTTTTGCATCTTTCTGCTACCCCAGACTTCTGGAAAATTGTTTTTTTTTTAAATATCTATTTTGTAATTTCTCATCCCCAAGACATCTGGAAAATTTTATCTGCGATGCATCCTTCGATCTTGCTGTCACATCCTTTGTGCAAAATGTTTTGATGAAGCCATTTAAGCGCCAATTTACTACAGCCCACCTAGTTTGGAAGCTATGGCGCCCAAGATCGCACGTCCTATGGCTGCGGCAAAGCCAAAGAAGGGCACGGACGTGGAGGTGGCATCGAGTTGCGGGGACTTGGTCTTTGAGGACGATTTTTGGGAGCGCCTTGGAAAATCTATATATGGTGAAGCCAGCATCGTTGACATCACTTGCTTTAACTAAACCGTCATCTGCACATTGCACGCATGATGTCTCGTTCCCTTCAACATCCATCTCTCGTGCCTAGGTCAGACTGGATTCTGCCTCCTCCTGATCATCCCGTATGGTGGGAGCGCAGACCTGAACGAAGCCGCTCACCACCACCACCACGTGCAGCACCCGGCACTCCACCTGGGCCACCACCTAGAACGCCGCCAGATGATGTTATGCTGCGGGTGCCGATGACGCCACCAGAGCTGCTAGGGTCACCACCCGGCACACCGGACAGTGTTTGAATATGTAACTACATGTTGATGACATGGATACAGGTTGTGATAAGACAAGCTACACAAGAAACACGCGTGACAAATCTTGGTTTTTCCAACTCCGGTGTGCCTTAGTCACCTGTTCTGTCAGTGTATCATCGCAATTGGCGTAGTACACTTTGAACAGCAATGCGCTTGTGAGCCTGCTCTGCGTGAAAGGAAAAGGTTGCTCTGTTAGCCTCGTGTGAGTCCTACTTTAGATTTAGAAAATAAAAAAGGTTAGCCTCGTGTGATTAGTCTTCTAATGTTACAAATTAAAAAGGTTTTTTCTTTAAAACAGGAAAAATTCAAAACAATGTTGCAAGCATGTAATATGATAAGTCTGTTCGGCACAATGCTCCTGCAACTGATTCATCATAATGCACATGCCTTCTTCACGTCTGTTGCTTCTGCAATGTCATCATTCCTGTCAGCTGGCATTCATTTTCTCAAGACCTGGTTAGCTCATAGTGCAAATTTCTGTCTTTGATCCAATGGCAAACATCGATGTGAACTTCGTGGACAGTTTCAGGCATGAACTGGGAGAACGTGATGGGGTTCTCACCTTCGAAGAATCGTGCGTCCAGGTACAAGGTCTGAAGCTTTGTGGCCCGCAAGCAAAGCCATTGAAATCAAACAGACCGGTCGGCGATGTTTGCTTCATCGATCTTCCTCTTCGTGACATGGATGGCATAGGAGGCAAGCTCGAACAGTTTGCTGACATCGTGCAGAACTTCCCAGTCCAGGGCAACTTCAAGATCGATGCTAACTTCTTAGACATGACTGTGTACCCTCTCTGTGCCCAGGCCAAATATCGAGAGTTACCAGAACCCTTCAATTTGAAAGCCGAGCCCAAGGTACCTTATATTCTGCAGATCGTGATGTGCCATCCTACCTTCCACCAGACAAAGAGCAGGACTATGTGGACATCTTCAAGCACATCTACTTGCACAAAAACAAAGTCTCATCTGCTGATTGCGTATCATTTTGTCATGGAGCTCCTGTCTGCTTCGATTGGGGGAAACAGACTCGATTGGCTTTAGCTGGACGCAACAACATGTTGGATCGCACCGGCGGCATGCAGATTCGGATTTGGACCCTCGCCCCCAAGTTTGAGAAGAAGCACACTTTAGATCAGAGTGCTCGAGAGTCTGGGTACCGATTCATTCGAGAACATGGTCCTCGCTCGAACAACATGAACCAATTCATGGAATGGACTGACGAACAAGTGCATTGTCCCGGTGGTCCTTTGGAGGGATGGCAGGAAGGAAAGGTGAAGGAAGCCCTTCACAACTATTATCGTGGTCGGCAAAATGCAAAGACGATCCAGTACTGGCCATTGACATTGAAAAGCTTTGTGGCATGGTTTCTCGACGAGATCCTTGTCAAGATGCTCCCAACCATGCGGCAGCACGCCATCACATGGATCGGGCGTACTCGTGTCGGAAAATCTTTGGGCTCCAAAACCATTCTGTTTGCTCAATCCAAGTTCGAGATCACACAAGCTGATCGAGAAGATCTTGTACCTTCAATTGTGACTGCCAAGCACCTTGATTTCTTTAAAGCCGAGCCGATCACGAAGTTCAAGCCAGGAGTCTTCGATGACGGCATGCTACAACGGATGGATTCGTCTTTCCTCAAGGCCTTTTTGAATCCTTCGGCGACTTGGCTGTTTATGGTGACGTGTATAGCTGCTTCTGTCACATTAAAAAATACTTCTTTGGCATGGCTTGCACACTTGGCTGTTTCTCGTTCCTTTCATACTTTCACATCAAACCTTACCTAATCCAAACACATGTCACATTCAAAGTACTAAGGAAGAAGATGCCACGGTGTGGGCTCGCTACTCCTCGGCGCAATTCGACCAGGGTTCTGGACGTCATGCTTGTAACAACCCCTACAACCATGTTCTTGATTGTGAGCTCTTCGAAAAGATGCAGAGCACAGGTTTTTGGAACATTCAACATAAGGACTTCCTCGACTTGATTGCTCCTTCCTTCACTGGTGTCGAGGATGCAGAGGACATGGCAGCAATCTTGGCTCGTACGCACGCCATCGTCTTGACCGAGAACGGGGTGTACTACCGTGTTGCAAGCACTGAGAAGGGCAATGTCGATTTCATCGCTTGGCAGAATCCGCAGATGAAGGACATCTTGGCTCCTGAGTACAAACCGATCTTCAAGGCTTACAAGGCAGATCCTGAAGCTCATGTTCTTCCTGAAGGATATCATGCAGACTCTATCTGGTCCCAAGAGTTGCTTCGCAAACTTCTTCGAGGGGAACCAGTTGCCAGAACCATTACTGTTCGTCAACGTGGCCTTTTCGACGAGAATGTGCGCGAGATGCAAGAAGCTCCACGTCTTCTTCCCACAGCAGAATCTGCATTGCAAGTGAAGCGTGAAAAGGTCAACCACGTTTGGAAGCACTTGAAGCGTTGCCCTGTCACCACCGTCATTGAGCTCGATTCTCCTTCTCCTGCAAAAAGGGTTCGGCCTTCAGCGCCTGCATCATCTTTGCCATCCTTGCCTGCCATGCCTTCTTGTCCTGTCATGAATCCTGGAAATGCTGAGTTGGGCTTGCTTGAACATGAGGAGCAGGAAGCAATCGATTTAGAGAATGACATGGTGAGCTTCATGGATGAGATAGATGGTATGCCACCTGTGCCCGAGGGTCCTGATGAGGACTAGTCGACTGATGAGAGAAGACATCTTCAATTTTGAAACTTTGTTTGTGGACCGCTGCCAGCTTCGAAGATCACTGAATCGGACAGGAGATAGAACCAGATTGAACTACACTTCACGAAGCTGTCGTGTAGCTTGTCCGTGCGTTGACACATCGAGCTATGATGAAAAAGATGAGCAGTATGTTTTGCTTTGCTGTTTGCATGGTCGTTGTCATAGCCGTTCCGTTACTTTTGCTTCCACATGCGCTTCTGACTACATACCTTAACGTGCCTCTGTAGTTTTGTGGTTCTTCTAGCATCCTCTGCACGTGTCTCTGTCATGGCGAAAAGCTTCAATCCGCGTGTGCCGAAGCGTGGACGTGCCCGGCAAGTGTTGAAGAGGCCTGCCCACAAGAAGAAAGGTAATTGGCAGCAAGTCCCTTATGTGCGAGACCTTGAGGCACAGGTACCGCCACGTGGTGACAGGCACGCATGGAAGAAATCATTGGTGGATGTGGTGAAGTGTTCTGTATCCTCTGTGGTGTCTATGCTACGTGCGGATAATCTTCTACCTAGATGGGAAGGTGCTCTTTGTCCTCATTGTCGGCGCGGCACTATGGGGACGCTACAGTCGTACGCTGGCGTCCCCAAGCACAGATGCAACCACTGGAAGTGCTTGAAGCGCATCAATCCTCACCATGCTCACCCCATCTTTGTGGAAGGCACTGGCTCTGGCTGTACACCTTTGTCCACACAGGCTGCCATGCTCATGCTGCTTTTGAACAATGTCGAACATGCGGCAATCCACCGCCTGCTTCAAATCAATCACAAGGCCATTGAAGACATGCAGAAGCGCCTCTACCAGCTCCGGGCCTCTTGGGTCCTCAAAAAGGAGAAGGAAATTATCTTTGGCAAGTCTCAGCAGTGGGCGGATGTGGAAGCCGATGAGGCTACCTTTGACAGAATGGTCAAAGGTGAGTCGGTGGAGTGGGAACAATGGTGCGGCATCATTCAACGAGGCCAACCCTCTACTTTGGTACTTCACCGCCTTACACCCCCAGCTGGCAAGGCCAGAGCTCCAGGCCCAGGTGCCGTGCGAAAAGTTGAATGGAAACCGCTTGCGAAGAAATGGCTGCAGGGTCGTCAAATCATTCTACACACCGACTCGGCCAAGAGCTACAAGCTCAAGGTACCTGATGTCCTGCATGATCGTGTCGTACATAAGAAGAAGCGCGTGAAAGTAGGAACAAAGTTCCGCTGGATTGCGCCCAAGTATGTGGAAATGCAGCGCCACAAGGTGCCTGGCTCTAAAAAGGTTATCAAATGTAAGTCAGGCACCCAAATCATCGATCGTTGTTGGAAATTTTTGAAGGCCCGGCTGAACATCAATCAACACAGCCGTGTTGGCAGCCAACTCTTGAAGCTTCAGCTTCGATCTGCCCAGTATGAATACTGGCGTCGTGGCCAAGATCTCTGGATCGACACTGGAGTGTTGGTTCAGTGGTTTATGGCATCCACTGTCCAGGCGGGTGGATAAATCTTTGCTGGCGAGCGCGCAAAAAAGATGTCTTCTGCTACATGGGTGCCTTGCAACAAACTAAATCCCAACACTTCTCACATGGCTATCTGTCTGCCTCCGCAAAAAAGATGTCTTCTGCTACATGGGTGCCTTGCAACAAACTAAATCCCAACACTTCTCACATGGCTATCTGTCTGCTTCCCAACATATGTGATATCATTCAGTCACCTGCACGGAAACATTAACCAGTTCTGATCTGTCTGCTTGCTGGCATGCATCATCTGTCTCAATCGCATCCATTCAAACATTGGCTCTGGGGGGGGACTAATATATATATATATTATATTATATATTATAATATATATATATATTATATATATTAAAAGATATTGAGATCTTACTGATATCTTATTAAGATCACATAAAGGTACATGAAATGTCAAGCAGCGTTCGGAGGTCTTGCGGCAACAACAGCGACGAATGCAACAGATCCAGGTGCACCTGCGGTCCCTGCGTTTGTTCATCGCTTTGTTTTCGCGGAAATCCGGGAAGCAAAGTCCTGCGCCAAGCATTCCGTTATGTTCACATACCCTCTGGTAAACTAACATAACTATGGAAAATCACCATTTTTAATGGGAAAACTCACTATAAATGGTCATTTTCAATAGCTATGTTACTTTACCAGAGGGTATTTTCACATGTTTTCATGTTTTCACTATGTCACCCTGCCATTTTGCAGGGACAATTGCTGAGTGACGTGGGCTCCTTGAAGAGCCAGCTGGTCGATAGCATTCGCCGACGATCTGCCAGGACCGTGGCCTTTTGGAGACGTTGGAAGTATCATGACCCATGACGGATCCGGCTGGTGCTGGTATATATAACATTCAACCATTAATATACCGTTAATATACCATTAATATACCATTAATATACCGTTAATATGCTAACATGACTGGGGTATATTGATGGGATCCATGTGACCATATATAGCATAATTACATGGATCCGTCATGGGTGATGTATCATGGCAAAAATGCATAGACTTTGACAGACTTGGCGATAAGGCAAGACAGTTCCTGGCCCGTTGATACAGAGTCTAGCCATCGACTTTGATCAAAAGCCATCAAGAATCATAAGAATCCACGATCGCCCCTTGCCATCTTGCCATCCCTTGCCTCAACACATCACCAGTTTGATGTCCTTTTTTAGAGTCCAGATCTCTCTGGCAACCCACTTAACCTTGGCAGATGCGCGCGGCATGTGCAAGGACGGAGGAAGTTTGCCACGTCGCGGTGTAACTTGGAATTGGTCAAGAACTTCCAAAGCTGGAGCACTTGGTGATTTCAAGAGATCAAGAGAGGGGCATAGGATGGCAAGAAAGGTGTTGCAAGGTGTCATGTTTTCAATACATAAAGGCAGCACAAGCCAAAGTTAAACAAACTTATTATATCATATAACATGTTCTCAGCAAAGGACCTCAAGTGTAAGACTTGTTTCTGTCACCGCTGTTTAGTTAGAGGCTTGAGATTGACAGCGCAAACCCGCCGGTGCTAAATGGTGCCCATGCTGTGTCAGCGCGGTTTGCGTAGCACCTTTCGTAGTGCCAACAACTGCAGTCTTGCCAAGATGAGGTGAAGATGATGCAATGATAATGCAACTGTGTTGCTTGTGTTTTTACACTGTTTTACTAGAGTGATTAGAGCTTAGTTAAATTTGCTTGTTAAATCTTGGCACGATTGCAAAAGAATCGATAGAGTAGACCAAAGAAGCTAAAGTCAAAGCTGTACAAAGTTCGAACAATGCCTTGCGTGCAGTGTTAAACCGTTCAGCTTGACTGTCGACTAGCTTGATAGCCCAATTCCGCACAATGCAAAGCGCTTTAGCGCTTGTGCGAGTGAGGCAAGTAAAATCCTTTCAAACGTGTTAATCTTTTTGTGAATCTGTCAAAATGTCTTCTGCCTCCTTTCCAGATTGTTTCAACATTGGGCAGGGTCAGCAATATGAATCACGCTATCACATGCTAAGTGGGCTCCCCTAAAGGCGGCATTACGGTAACGGCTAAAATGCACAACAGTTCTCTGACAGCAGTGTTGATCACCTGAAATCTGGTGTACTTTATCCGTTTCAGTGCGGTAGTACCATCTGGTTATTTAACATAGCCATGGAAAATCACCATGTTTAATAGGTAAACCATCTATAACTGGGCCATTTTCCATGGCTATGTTAAATAACCAGAGGGTAATGAGTATGGCAGGTATGATTGGGTATGAAGTGTATCCTTGCCATACCATCGGGCCCAGGCCATTTATGCACACTGCATGGCGCGCAAGGGTTTGGTGTGCCCACCTGATTTGCAGCAAGCTTAGATGTCTTCCAGTTGTGCTCTTCAGAAAATTCAGTACTGCACTTGTGCTGCTTTGTTTGGTCTCGAGTCTCATTCAGGTTTTTGTTGTCTATCATTTTGCCGAAAGGCAGTTACATCAGTTACCTTTTTTAACACACCTGTTCAATATTAGGATTCCATTAGGATTCCATTTCTCTCCAGACAAACATTTACAACTCACGGCCATGCGCTTCTCTCCACGTGCTGATCAGGTCCCACAACTCCAACATCACCCTAGGCGCTGCAGAGAAAGGGTCGGTTAACTTCGGCTTCGGCTGGCGGTTTCAGGGGTTGGTAACTGTCCCATTTTGGGAATATTGGACATCACCTGAAAAAGTAGCCATCTAGTAGACCATATACCATTCATGGTTGGGTGATGTGAAAAATGGGGACATTTAATGACCCATGTAATTTAAAGAGCAACAAAAGATAACAAAAGAAAGACTTCAGCAGTTCTAACTTATCTAACTTGTGAGCTACTCAAGGCTACAGCAGTTGGCGGTGTAACGCTTGTTTATATTTATACGTACGATTTCATACGCTTGCAGGTGCACAGGTGCCTGCAACCGATGTGCTGCATGACTGTTGCATTTGCAAATGAGAGGGGTGACTAGCTGCAGATGTCCTGTCCATGCTTTGTTCAGTGGCAGTCACTGGCAAATCTTGATGGCTTGACTTCCTTGAAAGCTTAAGAGCATCTTAGAATCCATGACATCAAGATGGAACTCATGAAAACATATGAAAACAGCGAACAAAGCTAGGCCTGATGCGCACTGGTTATGTGAGTTATGTCAGTTATGTGTCATGCTTGCAGATTTGTCAATCTTCGTGATGCCCATGCTGCAATTCTTCAACCTTCCAGAATGTTGCTTCGATGAATTGGAGGCCGCCGAGCCACACACACACACAGACACACGCTGGCCAATACAGTAGCCAGACGAGGAGCATGTTGGGAAATGATTCTTATTGATTCTCGATTTTTCATTCAAACCATGTCATTAGGTACAAAGAATATCCAAGATGGTAGATCCTGTGCCCCATCATCAAGTAGGCGTCAAAGACCAGCCCAATAATTCCAAGAATCCAGATTACGAGTACGCCATTTGTGCAAATCAAATCATTA